GATGGGACCCCGGCTCTGGCGGGCTCAGCTTTCACGCCCCCACGAGCTGGGCTGCAGCAAGCCCACTGCCTCTTGGGCGGGGACTGGAGGGGCTAATGTCAACCCTCCCACGTGCCCATTTCTGCAGCCCGGTAAGTCATCCCTGCAGGAACCTCTCTGGGGCACCGACGGCCATCCTTCCAGGCCCTCTGGGACCAATGCACCGCGCTAGAAAAGTTCAACTTGCTCCTAAGAGCCCTTGCGCCTTGGAATGTCTGTCTAGGACTCTAGGCAGACAACCCACAACCACAGCGCCAGGCCCGAGCTGGCTGCCCACAGCTCCGGTAATCTCCCCAGTCATCCCTGCAGGAACCTCTCTGGGGCACCGACGGCCATCCTTCCAGGCCCTCTGGGACCAATGCACCGCGCTAGAAAAGTTCAACTTGCTCCTAAGAGCCCTTGCGCCTTGGAATGTCTGTCTAGGACTCTAGGCAGACAACCCACAACCACAGCGCCAGGCCCGAGCTGGCTGCCCACAGCTCCGGTAATCTCCCCACAGCCACGCCCGCCTCGCACCAATTTACACTTTCACTCTCACGCCCCTTCACAAGGCTGCCACACCCCACGGCCAGCAGGAGACCGGCTGCTCCATCCTCCGTGACTCTGGCTGCCCAGGACTCACCCAGGGAGGAAGCGGCAGGGGTGTCCGAGGCCCGACCATAGTGTGCCATCAGCTTGAGCTTGGTCTCTTGTTTTCTGTGCTTCTTGCCGACATAATGCTGTTTTGCCATGAGTGGATTGTTGAAAGTAGCATGGCAGAGGCTGCAGAACTTGTCTGGGTCAGCAGTGCTCTGGGTCTCCTTGGTGGCAGACACAGCAGGGGGAGGGAGGGTAGCAGGGCGTTTCTGTGCAGGCAGCATTACTGTAAAACGAACCAGAGCATCCCTTACCCGATCCCAAGACGCACACCCTGAGCCAGTGCCAGTCCGCAGGGCTGTCCATGCGTTGCGCAGACAAGGGCTCTGGACAGAAGGCTGGCTGGACGCCCTTTGGCTCTGCACCCTCTCTTCCAATCACACCCGTCCAGAGCCGTTAAACACCAACGGGCAAGACAAGGCAGGCTCCCAAGTGAAATGAGACCACAGACCCTCTGACCCGCCCCGGCCAGACCCAGGAGCACTGCAGGCCAACACTGACCTACTGAAAGAAACTGGGAACAGACCCCCCGCCCCATGGGTGCCAGCCCCTCCCAGCAAATGGAAAACGGGGAACGCTAAGCCAGAGGGCAGAGCAAACGCTCCCAAAGGGACAGGGAAGCGCAATGGCATGACATGGGCATGGGCCGTTAGTCCAGAGCAGTCCTGGTGCCAGGGCTGGGTGAAATGAACGCAGCCAAGCACATCCAGCTCCATTGCTGCCTGAGGACGGCACTGGCAACACGCTCGGATGCCAAGGAGAGGCGCCATGGGCGTCACCGCTCCCTGCAGGCACAGAGCGGCCCCGGCGCTCCAGAGTGACTTTCCTCAAGGCGGTGCCAGGCTCAGGGCAGATTGCCAGAGGGCACAGAGCTGCTGGCAGCGGTTTCATGAGGCCGCCTCAGGATGCGGCCCTCCGCCACCCGCTACACTAGAAATGGTGCTGGGAGAGCGTGGCCAGGTGGCCATGGGGCTGCTCCCTCGCAGGTGCTGCCGAAGGCCATACCTTCCGCTCTGGGGGACTGCTGCTTCAGCTTCATGTTCTTGGCATGAGTCTTGCCTAAGTAGTGAGACATGGCCACCACGGGAGACGAAAAGGTCATGTTACAGATGGGGCAACATTTGTTCCTGTCTTCTCCGTTGCTGCTCTCCTGTGCACAAGGAGGAACACGGATGTTTGGTTACATGCAACTGGCGAGGCCAAAGCACTTGGCGCACCTCTGAAGAGCCGCGTTCCCGCCTCTGGCTAGGCTCACTTTCATCGGGCAGCGGCACTAGGAGGCAAGCAGGCCCCAGAGGAGCTGAGGACAAGGTTCAATGAGCTGTGGGCAGGCCTGGGGGAGATTCCCAGCCTGTGTTCTACGTGGCATGGGCCAAGCAATACCAGGCACTCCCCCCAGCCTGCTCGTCTGTCGCGCACAGCTCCGGACCAGCTTAGCAGTGGGTTTTACCCAGCCTACCGCCACCCAGAGCCACCTCTGCACTGGACTCTCCACGAGCCTATGCAAGAGGCTGGATTCAGGGATTAACACTGAAGTGGTGAGAAAACTGGACTCAGTCACCCCAACTGCGCAGTCACCATTGCAGGCAGACAGCTGGGAGCATGGTACCTTCACTGCCGTAACGGCACCACAGCCACCAGCAATGGGAACCTCATTGGGA